ATACATAGGGCTACGGGCTATTTCGGAAAATTTTTATATAGTCATGGAACAATTCGGAAACATTTTTTTTTGAAAAAAATTTTTTTTAAAATTTTACTCCCCCCTCTTCTGTAGGGGAGAGGGGGGTAATGTAAAACACAGAATCAAGTTGGTCTGGCCTTATTATAAGATTTATAAAACAAATTAAGTAATATTTTAAAGTTGGAATTTAAGTTTTAAGGTTAAGATTGATTGCCCAATTCATCTTTGAGAAATCGAGTATTTGGTGAATTTCACCTCCGGTGAACGTTAAAATTGAACTGATTTAGAACATTATCATAATAATGACAGATCTCAAATAAGAATACCTCTAAGAATCCACCTGGTTTTAAAACCCTGACTAATTCATTCACTATGTATGGCCACTTATCTTTTGGATAACTAGCAATCAAATATCGCTGAAATACAAAATCAAAAGTGTTATCTTCGAATGGTAAACCTTCTAGAACATTTGCTTTAATGAAAGTAAAATTTTTAGGCTTTATATGTGTGGGTTGGTATGGTGATATGTCTATTCCAACAACTTCAGTCAATGGATATCTAAAAAAAAAATTATAAAAATTTATAAGTGTAATAAGAGCTGAGTATAGTCCAAGGCATTGAATTATATAAAGGGTTATACTCACGTGGTTGCCATATCAAATGACCATGACGCAGCGCCACACCTAAAACACAATACGTACAAGTTAATTTTTTAAGATAACGGTTGTAGGTTTTTTTATAACGTATAAATTTAAGTTCTGGTGATTCCTATTGAGATTAGTAATTTCAAAGATTAAAACTTTGGTCCATTTCAATTCCTTAAAACCCATTTATACTTATTTATTATTTAAAAAAAAAATTAAAATGCACCCTTTAAAATTTAACCACGATATATTGTTTATGAACTTATTTATTTTAATCAAATTTCATTTTAAGTTTTTTTTTTTATAATATTTACTCAAAAACTACCATAACATTTACGTACCCAACATCTAGAATTTTGGATCCTGATTTAGATAAAATATGTTCGACGGGAGCAGAAAAGTTGCTTTGCCAAATATACCGTATCAAAAAATGTTGTAAGTGTAATCTATCTTGTTCATCATCATCATTTGGCAGAGAATAGAAGGAATTTTTTACATTATGAAATCTTCTACCACCAACGTATTGAAATTCTGTCTGTGAACCTTGTGAATCGATAGAATTAGCTTTGTCGCTTAAGTTAGACGTAATACACCCCATAATGATATACGGTAATTTAGATATAATCAAAATTTAAAATAAAGCAAGAAATCGAATTTTTTTTGGGTTTTCAACGAATT